TCTTTGTCATATTCATTCATTAACTGCTCAAATTCTTCGTGATCAAAACACAAATCATCAGATAAATAATCGTCATTTAGATTTTGATTACTTGCAAATAAATTTTCATCCGTAATTTCTACATCGTCATCACTAAATTCGGATCCACTTGGTCGATCACAGGCCAAAAACCGTTCAATATCAACATCTTTTAATTTTTTAAACGCCATTCTAAAGAAATAAATATAATAAGAAAAAATCAATTTCCTAGGCAACTACGCAAAACATAATTATTGAAACATTCCGAACCTGCACAGTGGCACATACATTGCCGGCTGAATAATACAATATTGTAGCAATACAAACGTTTATTTCTTATAAACTTATAATTACTGGAGTTAAATAGTTTTTAATAATTAAAATAAAAATGTTTCGACCTCTTATCTATTAAATTACCAAAGTAATAATATTTCGAAAAATACAAAATAATGATAATACGGAACATTCGAGTATCAATAATACAAACTTACTATAAATTGTGATAACAAAATAGCGGGTGACCGAATAATATTATTTTATCACACTTATATATTGATAGTGTGATCAACAGAAAAAATCATGTATTAACGATATCGAGAACGCATAAATATATGATTTTAGTTGATGGCATCATATGTGCCAAGATGCATCAAGAGGTTAAGAATTAAATACGATTTTTAATAGCAATTACTAATACTGTTTTAAAAAATTAATAAATTGCTTAATGTTCCAGAACTTCTACCAATAGCATCTATGATTATGCCAGTTCCTGGAATAATATCAGTTTCTATGCTAATCAGCATTAAATGTTCTAATAAATTTTCCTTCATTGCATTGCTTAATCTGTTTTTTATTATTTTTAATTTTGAAAATGCACGTTCGTAGTTCACTTGAGTACAGAAGAGAGTGAAAATATATTTGTACACCAAGTATAAGTTTGAAAATGCTGATGTATGTAAATTATATTTATATAAATATTTTGACAAATGTGGTGAACAACTGCAGCAGCCTACTTATTTTTCAGATTTTCATTTTGTTTCAAAATTATTGCAAGATTCTGCTGAATTATCGTTAAGACTTTAAGATTTTCTTTTATGTGCAATTTTGTTAAAAGTCTGATTAAAAAATGAAATAAATTGAAGAAACTCTTTTCTTAATGCGATTCCCGATTCGGCATTTGATTTAAGAGCAACGTATTTTAAATTATCGTCATTAATTAAATGAGGGCTTTTGCCGAATTCTTTAAAGCTTGTGTATTAAATGCACCTAATTCTTCGTATATTTTTTCATTTTTTTCAAAAACATTTAATAGGACATCGTAAATTCTTCGATGAGTAATTACTTTGAAATAGACATGCGGTGAAATATTCCAGTCATCATTCTAAGCTTTCTCACCGGAAATTTTTTTAATTTTTGGCCTTCGTTTCAGTGCCGCAATTAAAATTTTGAGGCCTAGGTGCAAACTAATTTTAGAGGCCCCTATTCATCAGTGGTGTTAAAATATTTTTATTGATGAAATGATGAGCTTAGATAAATGCCCCTCCCTCCCTTATTTATATAAGCCTATCAATCCTTCTCAGCCCCGGTTAAAGATAGTATTTCAATATAAGATATTCGCTAAAAGTTTGTTTCTTTTAAAAAATATATGTTCACAATATTTAAATTTTAAAATTAGTGGCAAATTTAAAGGTATACAAGCCTGTATAACAGAAAAACATCCAACTGCACATGTACATTGTGTTTCACACAATTTAAATTTGGCTTTATCTAATGCTGTTAATGTAGTACTTATTAGGAATAAATTTGGTGTTATAGAAAAAGTATACACGTTTTTTAATACACGAAAACGTCGAATTATCAAATCAAATTCAACTTTTAGTTCCTGATATTAATAAAACTAAACTTGTTAAATTATGTCCAACCAGATGGATTGAATGACATAATTCAATAACAGTATTCAATTAACTTTTATTAATTGTATTGGTGGCGTTAGAAGAAATTCAATCGTGGAAACGGTATTCATCAATCTTCATTTATTATTTCATAACTATGTTCAGAAAAATTATTAGCTTATACTTTACCAATAAGTAAATTACTTCAAACGACAGATATAGATTTTTCTGCTGCAGTTAACGATGTAGAAAGTGTAGTGTCTATTCTCCGTCGACTTAGAAGTAATGCTAAAAATGAATTTAAGCAATTATTTTTAGAAGCACAACTAATTTAGACCTGACTATGTATATACCTAGACTAACAAAACATCAAACTATGCGATGTAATACATCATCAGAAAATATTGAAGAATACTATAAACGTTCAATTTTTATTCCATGGATTGATTCATTTCTTAATAGTCTTTCTGGTCGATTTTTTAAACATAAGAATCTGCTTACAAGTTGTAAATGCCTTTTACCGACCGGACAAAATGAACAAATGACAAAAAGTCATGCCACAAAAAAGTTTTTCTGTCGCAAAAGCCGAATTTGAATTGTGGTATGAAAAATTCAAAAACTGTTACTGATTCAAGCACTGGTAGTTGGTATCTACATGATATTTTTTTCGCAGAATCATTCGATTACGAAAAATACAAATACAGAAACTTACAAAATATAAATTTTATATTACAAGTGTGTATGCATATGTAAAAATTATATATGGGTAACATTATATGAGAACATATTATAAGGATTAACCGCCATATATACTATACTTTAATGGCGGTGCTGGATCTCTTAAAGTTAAAATAATGAAGTCGCAATCGCCAATAAATCTGTCAAAACCAGTCTTATACAATAATATCTACACTAAAATACTAACACAAAATAGACCAAAATACTATATAAATATAATTAATAAACTATAAAAATACCATTGAAATTGTCCATTTCAATTTTCGTTTCAATTTCTTGGTCAATGCAATCGATTTAACTGATTTCCGATTTAATTGGATCATCAAATTCATACGTAATACTATTGTCTACGGATATTTTAAATTTTAAAATAATGTTAGAGAATATTATAGGTATACAAATGCAAAAAACAAATCATTTTTTTTGAATATTACTTACTAATATTAGCATTATCATTTGTACTTTTTGTTTTTATTGACGTATTTGACACTACTAAAACTTTTTGTTCCACAAAACGATCTAAATATCCAGCCAACTGTTTTATTTGTTCGTCATTTTGTACTTTTAATTTTCTTTTTTTACTTTCACTCGGATGAGAACGAGAAACCATTTTTAAATTTAACACTCAAAGAATAAATTATACCCCTACGATTTACCAAATTGTAATACTTTAGATACACCGTACACATCTACCGGTTATGCTTATAATAACAAATGGCAAATTTACCAATACTAAATACTCGATATGAATCAGTCCAAAAATAACTACAAGTACTGCATATCTATATTTATCTTATACTTGTAGTTGTTGAAATCAAAGAAAGTATACAAGCATTTAATGTGAAACGCATTATCGTGCCTTCGTGGTCAGATTTGACGGATTCATGGAGCCAATCGAGAGAATAAATTATATAAATGTAATGGAAATTTAATGTAATGAAGCTAATTGTATACTTTAATTTTTAATACTTCCTCTATAAATAAGTATAACGAAAAATCAAATAAATAATGAACAACATAATTCAGTTTTTTAGACAAAACGCACAGCGATTCAAGTTTATTATCTATAGTATGGTCACCTACCCACCCTGCTTCTTCACTTGCTGATACTTAATATTTTAAAAATATATGTTAGTAATGTAAATATAATATGGTTCACGGCCCAGTATCACCCTGCTTGCGGCCAATGGGTTGGGAACCACTTGCCTAATGGGTTTCCAGTGAGTATCTGTGTTTAAAATATTATCGGATATTTTCGTTGTCATTAAGTTACGAGAAATGAAAATGAGATCATTATTGCTACGGATTTAGTTCGCCGCGTATACATAGTACATTCTATTTATTTAACTGAAATCTAGAAAAAAAAAAAATCACGGAATTATTGATAATTTATTGCACCTATCGTGGATTCGTGTAGAAACAGTTCATAATTGTACCTACTTTTATAATAACAGCAGTGCCATCAGTCGGCCATGCAACATTTCGATTACCGAGTATAAAACAACACATCAATTAATCCAGTTTTGGTCAAATATACGTTATTACCTATTACACTCGGTGGGCACTGAATACAAATCAAACGCCAAATTGAAAACGATTTAATCATCACTTCTACTGTATGATTATAACCATTACCTACAATATATTCAGACCTACTAGTATCTGACTATACCCGACAGTGAATAAAAATATTTAAGTTATTAAACAATAAAGTTGCTAATCATAACATTGTTATAACTTATATTATTAGTTATTACTGTTATTTAGTAATCAAATATGAGTAATAAAAGAAAAGATAATCCTCTGTATTCATATTTCATTAAAAGTACAAAAAGTCAACTGTCGATACTATCTAAGTAAAAAGTTTTGAGAGGGTGGGGGATTTTTCCAATTTTTCTCTCCCATTTAGCTATGTCGCTTTCTTCTTCGATATCCCCACCTCTTCAGAAATCATGTCTACGCCACTGAAGGTTATTAAATTTTTTTTCGATCCAATCCATATAAAGTTATGAAAATTCGATGATTTTTTTCATTTTATTACAAGTGATATTTGTTCGCTCTGCAAACATGTTCATTGTGACTGTGTTCATGTTATCATTTTCGTGCGATGCGTAGCGGTGCGTTGCGTATTCGCACGTCGGCGGCGACAGCGGCTGCGGCGATAATACCTCCGCGTGCGACCGGCCGGGTAGGTACGTAATCGCATTGTTATCATCGCACGTAAATGTGTTCGTTATTTCATGTTTTCGAGCTTTTCGAGGTTATGTTTCGTGCAATTACCAAGTCATGTTCTCAGTTCCACAAAGTTTCATTATGTTCTCGTGTTAGTGTGGCAGCAATGAGGCATTTCGTCTTCATTTTGGTGTCCGGCGGGCGAAGCTTTCGTGATGAATGTCGTCGGCACTACAATACGCGCGATCAGTGTTATTCGTTCGTCGTTTTACAGCCGTATTGTACAAATCGCGTTTACGGTGTTCGTGTGTTTCGTGTCTGCTGTTTCGCGTTGTGATTAACGTGGTTTCCGTTCGTATAGTCTTCGTCCGATGCTGTAGAACTTTCGTTGGTGTCTGTGGTGTCATACACTGCGGTGTGCCGTCGTAGGCAATAGATACGGTCGCAGTGCTGGTGCGGTCGCGCTGGATAAAATCCATCATCGAAGACAGTCACATGTGAGTATTGGTCGACCATATCTGTTCTCGTTGTCAGTGTAAAGGCCCGTCGGCCATCACAGGCCTATTTATTATTATTGTTATTATTATTTGCACAATGGTATTATTATTATATTGTATATCCTTGGCCGTGCTGCGGTAGGCCAGCGCTATTGTTGTATTTTAAGTTGTGCCACATCACATTGTTTTTGTACTGTCGTGTGCCGAGTCGGCCACATTCGTAGTATACCATTGCATTTTATATATTTGTGATACAGCTATTTCATTTTGTTTATTAATTTTATTTTTATGTGTCTAACAGGCTTTATCTATATATCATTATTATTATATATCATTAATTAATTTTTTTATAACCAATTGACATTGATTATCGAGTTATTGTTGTGCCAACCAGGCAACTAGTACCTTTGTATTTATTTACATTTATATTAATAAATTCCTAAATTATTTTAGATACATTATTTATTTATTATTTATTTCTTCTTATATAACCGGCGAACAAGCCAGTCCTTTAATATTAATATGGCACTTGCCGCGCCAAAAATATTATACAATTTGGAAAAATTCTTTGAATAACCTAACTGTGAGTTTCATGTCATATTCAAAGAGCAGATTTAAACTAGGAATGATTAAGGTTGAATAATATAATTTTGAAATTATAAATTCAGCAGAACTTTGAAGTGATTGAAAGTGATTCGATTTAAAATAAAACTGCTTACGAAAGGTGATTTAATTTTAAGCGAAAATTTGTGAAAACTTAATGAGTGACAAGGGCCAAGGATGTTTTAATTAATGACAAATTGTTGAAATAAACTTTAATTTGATAGGCCACCATATTTTGTGGAAAATTTAAATTGGATAAAAGAAAAGTTCATAAAAATGTCCCTACATGAATGTATATGTACGTATGTTAATCATGAATAGTGTTGTTCTTAAACCCAAATATTTGAATATTGTAAAACATTATATAGAAATAAAAAAAAAAATTGTTAAAAAGGTAACTACCATTCAATCTATTATTATTAAAAATGGGCTGTTTTCATTTTTAAAATACCTATATTATATTAATTTCAAGAAATAAACTATCATAAAATGTTTTCAAAGGAATATTGCATTTTTGAAATTCAGTATTAAAGTTTTATTAAAAAGGAAACCCGTTCAAATATTTCACAATGTTAAAATATAAACGCTTCTTTTATCATCAATATTAATTTGGGGCTAATCATAATTAATAATTAGTTTTTATATTAAAGGAGGATGATTAAAAATAAAATGTAAACCTAAGGAAAACGTTATTTTGTGTGTAAAGTGTCCTCTTGAAAATAAACTCAATAAACAATACAGTTAGGTAAAAAAAAAATTCAAAATGTTTCTTGTTTTTATATGACTACACATTTCGAAGTAAAAGTTTTGGTCGAGAATCTCACTAGGTTCTGTTTATTACCGATGTCGGAATGTCCCACGGGTTCGATTTATGTCAATACTACTCGTAACTATGCAGTATACGTCGATCCCGAAAATAATGAAAAAATAAATTCATTATTATTTAAAAATTGGTTTTTTAATTTTTAGCACTTAAAAAATGTTCGTCCTTGCGATGGACCCGCGTATTTTTTATAAAATGGTTTTGCTGTAACAACACAGTGGGCTTTTATAGTTTTACTGATGAAAGTAGGTAGGAAAGTATTTTCTAAAAGTATAAAAATATATTGCTAAAACGTAAGTTAAGCGTATAAGAAAGTAATTAACGTTATTTTCAAACAAAGCATACATAAAATTTATCTGGATTACTTAAGATTTTTCGGCTTTTCAATATATTGTTCTTTGTGAATAATTATTAATTTTTCTTATTGGTTTATCACACTACAAAAATATCGGGTTGGGTTAAATAAGAAAATGCATTTTAGTTACTTGTTTCAAAGCTCACTAAAACACACATACATGTGCGCTTACGTGAATGTAATAAAATAGAATATGTAGCCCCAACAAAACAATGCAAAACAACAGGGACGTTGATAGACGACTAAAATTGATTGATCACTAGCGGGAAACAATTTTATGTTACGGCATTTGAAATTAAATGCATAAATCCTCCACAGTGAATACTAAAATAAATGGTCGGTGCAAAGTAGATAATAATATTATTATCTGAGCGTAATGTTGGTTATCGTGTTATGGATGTAGAATAGACATGGACGTGTGACCAAACGAGTAGATGTATTTTAGTTTTTTTTTCATTCGTAGTCAGGGCCGTCCCGATGGGGGTTCTTGGGAGGGTGTCTCACCCCCCCCCCCTCCAGTCAGTCGGCAGTAGAATTTGTTTCATTACAGCCTATTTATAACAGCAGTCGGCAATAGAATTTGTTTCATTACAGCCTAAAAGAACCTAATTTTATTTATGGAAAACAAATATTACATATTTCTTAATGCAGTGTATACACGAATAAAATTTATGTAACTACTTATTATACAATATAAAATATTATTATTTATATATATATATTATATAATTTAATTGTCAATTTTAAGAATGTGCGACGCTGATACATATATACATGTTAAAAAGTAAAAGTACCTCTACATATAATTATTATAAATTATACTACATGCATTGGGTAAAAAAATTGTAGTCGGCGTTTTTCATATTATTCACCTCCCCTTGATTTTCATCTTGACGGCCCTGTTCGTAGTAGTTCATCTGTTAAAACAAAATATTCTCGTTCTGTCGATTGTTAAACAATACAAAGACCGTTTGAATAATTCAAAAATTCGAAGCATCGAATGTTAACTAACTATTATCTAGCGTTGTTTTAAAATATACAATGTGATATTCTTATTACCGTCAATAACGACTGTAATGATTCCATTAAAAATTATATGTAAATAATTGTTTTCGAAAATATGAGAATTCCCTGAGACATTGGATTTTTAAATTTAAAAACCACCTTATATTTATACTTGGTTTGTTCAAACAATGAGGTCGTTCAAAATACTTATTACTAATGGACAATAATTAAAGGTAGAAAATTTGTGTTTGAAATTCTAAATGTTATGGTTAGTAATTAGAATGTTTCAGAGTCATCAAACGTATCAAATTACTATCAAGTACATTAAGTACATTGTTATTGAGCAATGTTATTATTCCTGATGTTTATTTGTGAATAATAACCAAGTAGTATTTTAAAAATCGTTATATTACTGTATAACGATTCCATTGTTGGTGGTAAATAGTTTTTATTCCAGACGTTTTCGACAATTTTCGATACACCCATTGTTTGTTTATAGAGTGATAAAGTTATTTTTTTATTTTCATTTAAGATTGTTTCATTTTAATGAACTAGGTCAGTAAGAAAAATGAAAAAATAAAACATTCGATATTTCAGATCAAATCAATTTATTCAATTACATATTCCACCTCGACTGTTATTATTTATTGTACTTAAATGTGTTTATATTAAACAAGAGACCATTAAAAATGGTAAACAATGTTTAAGTGGAATGGTATTTTAGGATTCTTGGAAACCCATGGTGCAAAAGATTATTTTTTCCGGTTACTGGTGTTATAAATTATTTTACTGTGTATTGATCCAGGTTTAATTTTATATTGCATAAATAAATCTTATGATCATTACTTTTACCATATATAGGTAGTGCGTAGTGCGTATAACAATTACGTTTTACAAAAAACAAAACGAACAAACCACTAAAGTTATAATAACTTTTGCATAGCTATCAATACATTTAACTTATTTATAGAGATATAATTGTTTTAATTGCTCGTATTACTTGGATTTGTTGTTAATTATAAATATACAAAAAATAATATTCGATTATATGTAAAGTATTTTTGTTTTGTACATATTTTATAAAATTAATTTCTTGTAAATATTGCAATTTAATGAACAACTTGAGTAAAATGCTGGTACCTTATGATTTGTTCTTGTAATAATTATTGATCGAATGTGAATAACTATATACGCTATTATCCATACCGTTATTTACTGCACGTACACATTTCAAAATAAAAATTAAAAAAACGACGTTTCTCAAAAATTTTTTTAAAAAATAGTAATTTATCAATTTTGAAATGTTAGTTTAATTAGATGGTAAAAATATTGTTTATTTAATAGTACTTATTCAACTTATTTTTAAATACCAGTTTGAAAATTATTTTATTTTAAAGTTTGATTTCTCTTAGGTATAATAAATGTATAAGTATTCGTAGGAAACATATTATTTTATTATTAATTCATGTAATGCACAATATTTTTGTAAAGAAAAACAGTAAACATATTTTATTAAAATTGGAGACGACGTTAAAATATCGTGGTGATTATGAAACCAAGGAAAGGTTAAGATTAGGTTATATTATAACTTAATCCTAAAGTTTCCTTAGTATGCACAAAAGTACCAAAACAAGAAGTCTCGTAATGTTTCCGTTACATTTTTCATTATCAAATATTATTTTAATTTGATACGTTATTATTTTCTTTGATACTTTAAATTTATTTGAATGATAGATTTATTAAGGACTGTTAGGGATTCACTGAACATCATGAGTCTGAATTTAATTTGGTAGACTAAAATCGTAAGAAATTGTATAAACTAATTCAAAATCCAAAGTATAATTATAGCCTTGTACAGTTGAAAAATTACAAATTATATGATTTAAATTAATATGAAAGATTCATAAAGCAAATCATTCTCTTGATGAGACTATTCCTTTGGTAAAAATATTGATTGCTCCCACTGTTCATTATAGTAGAACATTTAGATTTGTCAAACTTAAGGTCATTGGTTTAATTTCAACGCGTATAATATTTTGGGTTAGAAAACGTTCAAAACGTTGGTTTTGACTTTAAACTATTAAATCTCTTCGACTAGTGAAATCAGTCGAAGAATAGTAAAATAATATCATTAACTGAATCAAAGTATCATAACTACTGTTCTACTGAATATTTGTAATTTCAAAAGTATGTTACAAAGTTTAGCGTTTTATT